GGAAATTTAGAGAGTTTTTGTAGTATGCGATGAGGCACCTTGTAATGACAATATGTGAAGCAACCCTTAAAGAAAACAGGCGATGACGTTTGACAGGTTCGCACGTGCATCAGACGAGACTCGGCGACAAAAGAATAAAAAGCGTAATTTTCACACTGCATATTTCTCGTGTTTTATTCTCTTTACAGCCTGATTCCCTATCTCGAACGAACAGCCAGACGGACGTTTTTTTCTTGTCCAAACGAAATCGTCTGAATTCGGAAGTCTCTATCTCGAATGATAATTTTCGTCCATTCTTACGTTCTTACGTTATTCGCCCGAAAAGATCTGTCAAAATTGGTTTGTTTACTTTGTGTGTATAAAAGTTCAAAAATACAATATTTTAATAGAATTATTTAAAAATGTATCAAGCAATAGCATTTCTTGAAGTGAACGTTCGGACGAAGACGAATTGCGGATGCAGAGGCGGAGGCTTCGAGACACTACAAATTTATTGGAATTGCCAGACGCCGAGTAAGTAGACGTGCATTTCTAGCATTCCGAACAGGCATGTTGTACGCATTTTCCTAAATTTTCTTCTTTGTGCGGCTTTTAAGACCAGCCCTAATCTGGAAAAACATTACAAGCTCAAGTTTTTATACAATTTACTATTTATAAAAAGGAGTTACCTTTTTCCATTCAGTAGCTGTTCTTTGTGGAGGTCCATGTGCGTTTAATTTATTGGCTAATTCATTCCTCTGCAGTTCTACCAAGCTCTTACTCGCACCAAACATTGGAGCGCCTCTTTCCAAGTGTGGATTTTTCTTCAGCTCTTTTACCAGCACATCGAACTGAGCACTGGAAGTTTTTTAAACACTGTAAAATATACTAAACAATTAATTATAATAATACGAATGTTTTTTCGATTATTTCTTGCCTTTTTAGCTTGAATTATCCATTTTAGCGGCACACACGATAGCAAACACTTTTTTGTTTGAATTTGACACTTTTTTTCTTTATTTGAAGTCGTATTCGTGTTAGATAATTCACATTTGTTACGTTTTCGTCACATAACAATCAGCTGTTATCGACTAGTTATCGTCAGGGTAGCGAATTCGTGTTAGGCAGTACAAATACTCGAACAAACTGCTGTTTGGACGAGACGAACGCTCGTTTCGAGATAGAGAATCAGGCTGTTAATCTTCAGTTAAAAACGTAACAATTTTCTTTAATTTTGCATAAGGTTTGGAACTCTAATTTTTGGGGCTTTTGGTGCAGAATTAATCATATTTTTATAAAAAATTAGGGAAAAATAAAATATTTAAAAAATAGTTGCCGGTATTGTACTTCGCTGTACCTAAACTGTATTGACTGACTGTATATCTTATTTAAGTTAAGTCCGACAAAAACTTTCGAGGTACTTCATATACATATAAACTTAAAAAGAACTGAATTTACTTAAAAATCAATATGCTTAAATTAAGACAAGTAAGACAAAGTGAACTAATATTTTTATTTTTAAGCAGAACGCACTTTTGTTTATTACTTACTACTTAAGTTTAATACTACTACTACTACTGTTACTGTTCAAACCTTAAGAATAAATTTTGCTCTATTACAATCATACTATAAGAAATCCTGATATACGAAATATCTTTGTACGTTAAATTGCAACCATGCCTCGCACGTGTAATGCCCTGTATGCAGCTCTCAAGGAAACGGTCAAGAAAAAATTGCCATTATTTCGTGTGTGTGTCCAAGGAATTTTGACATTTTTAATACTTCATAGCCTGTTGCCTCACTCTTTCCTCAAGAAATAATGGAGCATATATTTCTGTTGCAAACCTGGGTTGCCTTGTGCTCTTTTTTGACAAAAAACTTTAGAAAACCGTAGTAGAAAGTGTAGTAAGTTCCCTAAAAACTGCATACTGCCTTAAGGAAATTTGACACAAGAAAATGTCTTAGCCATTTCTTGTACGTCATCTTATATGGAGTTTTTGCTTTTCTTGAGAGCTGCATACAGGCCTTAAACTTCGTTGATTTGGCCGAACTGATCTGAATGTATCTGTTCGCCATTTCAGAGACGTACGAGGACACGAATAAGTAAGATACATACATACAATATGCTCGTGAATATTACCTTAATTAATTTCATTTACAGATATTACCCACACCCAGATATAAACCACACCCAATCTGTCTTAAAGTAACGATTGTATAAACCCGTATAAATATACAATTTTCATTAAAGTGCGTTCCTAACAAGGATGATGCGAATGTGGAATTTTATGTTTAAACGCTAACATCCGCGGATGCGGGCGCCCACGCGGATGTCAAGTATTTTTATACCCTAGCGCATTTGTGCACAAGGGTATTATAAATTTGTTCACATAACGGTTGTTTGTTACAGGTAAAACGAATCGAGACAGATATAGACAATTATATACATAAATCATCAGAATGAAAGGACAAATCGATTAAGGGGTGACTGTCTGTCCGTCCGTCCGTCCGTCTGTGCACACTACAACTCGAGTACAAATTGAGATATTTTAACAAAACTTGGCATGTGCACTTCTTTTGCGCGTTGGACGAATGGTATTGAAAATGGGCAAAATCGGAAGATAACCACGCCCACCTCCCATATAAAGGTAATATTGAGAAATACGAAAACTGCCATATTTTAGTAACTACTGAAGCTTATTCACTCAAAACCACTATTTACAATCATTTTTAGGCGAAAAATAAGAATATTATAAATTTTTGGAAAAAGGGGCATACACAAGAATGATAGAATACAAGATTGCGCCAATGAGAGAGGATTTTTGAACGTAATTTTTGCGTGACGTCATCTTGGTGCAATTGCGAAAGAGAAATGCCAAAACGCATATAAAAATATGTAAACAATGTAGAACAAGTAAGAAAGGCTAAGTTCGGGCGGAGCCGAACATTAAATACCCGGCGCAAGTATTAAATATATGTTTTTTCACCCTTCCGAAACCTTCCGCTAGATGGTAAGCCGAGTTGTAACAATTTTGAGTAAATTAGCGTCCTTCAATTTCGAAATATTGAAGTTTCAAGCATTTCTTAAATTTACCGTTATATGAGAATCGGCCGTTATATTAGTCCGATTTCAATAATTTTCAACGTTTTGCTTACACGTGGCAAGTACAATAACCATACCGAGTTTGGTACAAATTGGTAGAACGGTTACCGGCATACTTATATGTGATCATAAGTGGGCGGTGCCACTCCCATTTTCCAAAATTTTACCATAAACGTATTTCTTGGTAAAGAATTGTTGCAAGCATCAATTTTGAAAAAATTAGCTTCAATATTTAATGATTTATCGAAGATTTTGTATTTCTCTAAATTACCGTTATATGGGATGTGGGCGTGGTTATTGTCCGGTTTTAAAAAGTTTCGGCGGTTTTTTATGCTGTACCAAGGCCAACAACTGTGCCAAGTTTGGAAGAAATTGGTGTAGCGGTTACCAAGATATACACATGTAACCATAAGTGGGCGTGGCTACGCCCATTTTCCAAAAATTTATAATATACTTATTTTTCGTCTAAAACTTATTACAAATATCAATTTTGAGTGAATAATCTCCAGTAGTTACTAAAATATTGCAGTTTTCGTATTTCTGAAAATTACCGTTATATGGGAAGTAGGCGTGGTTATTGAGCGATTTTAAAAATTTTCGGCCATTTGGTATGTTATGCGAAGGCCAACAACTGTGCAAAGTTTGGAAGAAATTGGTGCAGCGGTTACCAAGATATATACATGTAACCATAAGTGGGCGTGGCTACGCCCATTTTCCAAAAATTTATAATATTCTTATTTTTCGTCTAAAAATTATGGTAAATATCAATTTTGAGTGAATTATCTTCAGTAGTTACTAAAATAT